GAAATATAATAGGTACCAGGGCTTCAGATCTTGTGTCTTCCACATAGCAACTCTCATTCATTCTCACAACAGAGGATGCCATGACAGACATCCTATGCAAGGGAACAAGGAAGAGAAAAAAACGAGAAAACACACACACACACACACACACACACACACACGCACACACCTTATTTAACCTTTATTTGATGAACAGACCAGAATTGGTCTTTTTGTACAAAGCCAGAAAAATTAAACATTGTAATTTCATAGAACATGTACTCACACCTACACAAATACTGCCCCTGCCCCCTTACCTNTCAAGAATCATAAGGTACAACACTTAATGATAGTCATAGGGTACAAATAAGCAATCAGGAAACAATACCAATATAAATCGTAAGGATACAAGCAACAAAATTACAGTCATGCAGTCATAAGTGGGAGGAGATGGGTGATAGGAACGATGAGAAGACTAATAGTAATAGCAATGCAGTATTTGTATTATAATAGAATACATTTTAAGACTATCAAAAGTGGAAGGATTCTTTGGGCCTTTGGATTAAAAGTAGCATATATGAAAATGCTACTTATAAAAATATCTGTGATATTTTTTTAAAAAGTGTGACTTCCGAAGCAATTATCTGTCAAATATTATAATTTACATAATTTATCAAATGCTAATTCTCACCTAGGAATAAACATAAAAAATTGGGCCTAAAGGTTTTTTTTTCCTGCTGTCTAATTTTCTTTTCTCTTTATTTAAAGGGCCAATTACATATACTTGATTCCGCCCTCCCTCCCCCCACTAGTTACTGAGCATGCAACAAACCAAGAGGCTGGGTAGTTCTTTCACTCTCTTTTTAATTAAATGATACCAAAAGTTGCAGTCTTTAAAAAAAATTCCACATGGTTAATTATGGCTAGTAAATCAGTTGAAGGTACCTCTTTTTCTCCAAAATGACAGAAACCTTTGGAAGTAAATTAAAAATATAACATAGACATTTTGACACAATGACCCCATGAAACTAAATAATGTCATTTGTTAAATGTGGATGTAACATGAAGAGTGTGCAGCAAACTGAATTCACACCCAGCAATGATGTCCATTTGATATGCAAAGCAAGTTTTCCATTTTATTGAAATAGGCAGTATTCAATTATTATTGTAATTATTCAATTGTATTGTATTCAATTATTATCAATAGTAATATTTAATATCTATTTAGAAAGACAAACCTTGAGGCTTTACTTTATCTAAGTAAAAGAAATGAAATGAAAGGAAGGGAAGGGAGGGAGGGAGGGAGGGAAAGATTACTATATTGTTCGGTGGTAGCTTCTAAAATAAGTTGATTTTCTGGAAACAAATTAAACAAATTAAACTAATAGAATATAAAATGAAACTCACATTTTAATTTCTTTAATTCTTAATTTCTTCTTATTGATTTAATTGTTGCGTATAGGTTCCTATCAGCTCTGAATAAATCCTTCAGTATGTGTAAGTTTTGTAAGGCCAGAGTATCCATTGTATACTCAGGCAACCTTTTATAGCTGAGGGCTATTAAACCCTCTCATTTGTGTGGGAGCATGTGATGCCAGGTTTGCAGGTTTACTCTATATCACAAGCAAGGGTAAAGCCTCAAAACACGATTTTCTGTTCTCCCTATTTTGTTTTGAGGGGAAGAAGAATTCTACATTTTTTTAAAAAAAATGAGACTTAAAAAACATGTTTGTTTCTTTTGTTTCATAAAATTAGGAAGAAACCACAATAATTAATTAGGTGAATTTTTATTAGAAGGAACTTTTGAAGGTTGCAGAAAAGAGGGGGTCTGTATGAGAGAATCTCCAATTTTTAACCACTGAAATACTGGTGTAATTTTTTTGTTGTTGTAGATCCTCTATCTAGGATTATATCTCATTCCTTGGAAGCAGACATATCTGCTGGTTTTGTTATAAACATAGTTTCATCTGGAGCAAAATAATGATTTGGGATGTAGATAAATTGTATCAGTGACTTGTTATTTTAAATAATTGATAGGTTTGAAATTGTGATGTTTAGAGATCAGGTGATAGTAAAACAATTGCAAAATCTCATTTTACATTTTCATAGCTGATAATGGTGAAAGCAATTCATATTTTGCTACCATCAAATCTGTTCAATTCTGTTCAGCTGAAAATCTGAGACCCATGTTAACTTTTCCCCCAGAATGCAAATAAACAAGCTATAAAACCATTTTAAAAAATCACAGTGACCCAACGTTTTTTGCATTCTGTGATACAATATAGCCTCTTACAATAGCATTCATTTATAAGTACTGTATGGCAATTTAATTAGATTGTAAGGAATTCCTTTTCAGTTTGTGTAATCTGAGAATATGAACACATTATTTGGAAGTCTGAATCTTATCCGCTTTTATATTGACCATAAGAATTGCAGAAGGGAATAGTTGGAAGTTAAAAGTAGTGAATACCCTTGATGAAAAGTATATTCATTGGTCATCTTAAATAAACAGTGCTGTCCTATGCTACATAAATCTACTACTATGACTTATGTATTTGAACAACTGCCTTCCAATCTGTAATTACTCACTTTGTGCAACAATTTCTGGTAGCCTCTCTTAGCTTAACATTTTTTTGTATTTATTGGTTATTTAAATTCATTCCAGCCTGATATAAGGATGGATGACAGTAGTGTAGCAGCCTTAGTTCCTTGTTTCTCTGGACATTTCTGACTATATTTAAATACAAATCAGGAAATATCCCCAGAATTATTGGAGAATGTATTGTTGTTTTTTCAAGTGAGATAGTATGATTTGCATCACAGGTTGGCCCCCAAAATACCTGCGAAATATTTCTTGATTCAAAAATTGCACATAGAACAAAAAGTATTCATGCATTTGGTAACATTGGTTAGAAAAATGTATTGGAATATATAAATGAAATCTTCAGGTATAATGGCTTGATTTGACAAAATAAATTAGAGGTAGTCCTCAGGTTACAACCATAATAGCTCCATTATGGTAAGACCATGATAGTCATAAAGTGAGTCACCCATGTGACCTGCCCAATTTTATGACCTTTTTTTCAGTGGTTATTAAGCAATAGCAAGAGCATTTATATATCACTCCATAGAATTTTACAGCCCTCTCTGGGTGGTTTACAACACCAGCATATTGCCCCCAACAATATGGGTTCTCGTTTTACCAACCTCACAAAGATAGAAGACTGAGTCAACCTTGAGCCAGACAGGATCAAACTGCTGGTTGCTGGCAGAGTCAGCCTGCAATATTGCAATCTAATCACTGTGCCAACACAGTTACTAAGTATTGAATCACCATGACCATTAAGAGAATCAATTGGTCACCATGGTATTTTCGCTAAAAAACAAAATAACTTGGAAATTGTGGCCGCGTGACTGCAGGATGCTGCAAACTTCCATAGATGTGGGTTGCAGTGCAGGCTGGCGGGGGTGGGGTGGGGGCGCACAGCCACCGGAACTTCAAAACTGGATCATAAGTACTTTTTCAGTCGTCCGTTATAATTTCAAATAATCACCAAGTGACTAGTTGTAAGTTAGGAACTACCTGTAGGCCACAACAGGGAGCCACCGTACATATTTTTCAGCCGGAAATCAGGTTTTAAAATGTTTGCAGTCAGAATCAGCTCAGAACGCTTGTTGTGGGTTTTTTGCAAAGTACGGTACCTGTGCCACCAGGCTACCTGAATAATTTAATCTTACCTGTTTATAATGAGCCCTATAATTTTAAGAACTGAGAATTTAGGAATTTCCTTTATTTTCAACTTTTTCTTTTGACTTTGCATCGCAAACCTAAAGGCAGAGATTATCTTGCTTCTGATATTTGCACGTTTGCGGGATGGTTTAGCAAAGAGCATTGTAAAAATGCTTTGGAAAAAAAAACGTTAAATGAAGCTTCGTGCTTCTTGTAAGAAAAGCTTGTTCAGATTTTCCTGTGGCTGTTATTTAGAAAAATGTGCATGTTAATTGCAATCATACAATTAATGCCTTATCAAGTGACAAGATGCTAGGTGTTTTAAAGAACTACAAGATACAGATAGGAAGGCACCATTTCTACTTACAGTACATGGGCTAAATAATACAAGTAGTGGTCCTTGACTTACAACAGTTGATTGAATGACCATGAAAAATTACCAGGGGATGAAAAAAAATAGCTTATGACCATTTTTCACACTTACAACATTGCAGCATCCCCATGATCATGTGATTTGCATTCAGATGCTTGACAACTGGTTCATATCTATAACGGTTGCAGTGTCCTGGTGTGATGTGATCACCTTTTGTGACCATCTGATGAGCAAAGTCCATGGGGGAAGACAGATTCACTTAACAACCATGTTAGTAATTAAGCGACTGCAGTGATTCACTTAACAAATGTGGGAATAAAAGTTGTAAAATGGGGCAAAACTCACTTAACAAATTTCTCACTTAGCAACATAAATTCTGGGCTCAATTGTGGGTTGTAAGTTGAGGACTATAAAGGGACGTTAAGGATAAAACGCTGGGCCCAATCTCGTTTTATCTTGTATGTTCAGACTCATTTCTTCATAGTTTTCAAACAGTAAATAATAATAGTAGTAGTATCGTTGTCATGCACTTATAAGGAGAATGAATACAAAATGATGAAATACAATATCAAAAATTAATACAGTAACTCACTACAAACCTGTTTAAATTTAAAATCTAAAGTACAGGATTTTACTAGGCTGGAGAGCCGTAACACTGAATACAGTTATTACAACCTGTATCTGAATAACAATGTATTTCTATAGGATGAAAGTGAAATTGTAGCATCCTGCTTAGATAAAAACCCCTCCGAAACTTCAAGAGGATAGCAAAATTTCTTAGCTGAGGCTCAATGCATTTCTTTCGGTTATAAACAGACAATGTGGAATTAGACTCACCGTTGGGTTAAATTCTCTTAAGATATATCTGCCCGCTATATTTGCGTATTGTGTACTCAGCATGGATCCTTTCTGTTGCAGGTCTGCTGACAGGTTTGCGTCCCTTTGCAAACTATGCTGTAACCCTAATGGCTTGCACTTTGGCAGGCTGTACGGAGAGCTCACATGCCTTGAACATCTCCACTCCACAAGAAGGTAAAGTAATTTCAAAGGTCTTGACTTCCACATTTCAGTCATGAATAATAAAATAGGAAAGGAGCTAAATGCTGCAAAGCCATTTGCTGGAAAACCCCAACCTAATTTGATGACAAAGTGCATTGCCAGACCATAATTGCTCCATTTTTTGGGGGGTGCTAAAATGAATCAAACTCCATACCCTTTAATGACATGCATCTTTAATAGCTGTAATGCAGATTAATGGGCTTTTTAATTGCTGTTACATTGTTCATGCAAGAGCCTTGTCATTAATATGAAGCATCTGAAAGATTAATGAAAGCTTCCTCATTTTACTATGGCTCAGAAGTAAATCTAGAGACAGTCTGACTAAAAAGAATTGATTGTATGGCACAGTATGAAATTGAGAATCAAACGGTTGATTTCCATGGTCTCTTTTAACTGCTAAACACCAGCCCAGGCAACAATTATTTCAGCCTGATGGAACCTCAAAATGCCAATTGGGCCATTTATTAATCTGTTGTACTTGAAACTTAAAAGTTACAAGCTTAAATTATAGTTCTGAAGCTGGCATTAACCACAAGAGCTACAAGAAAGAGAAAAAGCTTTGCCTTTAGCCTATCTCAGTAATGTCTATGTATTGATTAATAATGTCTATGTATTGATTAATGTGGAATTCTCAAGAAAAATGCAAGACATTTACATTAAGCATAAAAGGATACATTAAGCATAAAAGCATAAAAGCCAGTTTTTAAATTCATGCCAATCTAAATCCCGAGTTTTCCTCATGAAATAACATTAAATTGGTTATTTCACTTAGAGTCACTCTGAGAGTGACATGGGCAATACCTAAATTTGATAAATAAATAAATAAATAAATAAATAAATAAAATAAAATATTAATTAAAAGTTTAGATAGAACAGAAGGATCTGTCTTTTAGAGAATGATGCTGTATCAGGATCACATAAAATATTCATAAACCATGTGTCAATTTCCAACGTTAATTTTGTATTCATATTCAATTTATTATAGGTTCAGCTACCACACAATTCAGTCTGAATGTCTAAATTACTGTTTAATAACTGGGACAATATCGAATATAGATGTTCAGAAAAAGCGAAACACATCTTTCCATATAATCTTTATCTCAGTTCAGGAAGAAGGTAATAACTGCACAACAGAATAGAAATTTCCACTTTCTTATCAAACTCTGGTTGATAAAGCAACCCCAAATCTGTGGTTTGCTGCTAAATATTTTTTGGCTACAGACAAACCCAAACTCATGTGATTATATGGGAATAGGTGGTAGAGTCCTTTTCACAGAGGTATCGATTGCTCAGAGCAGATTTATGCATGGCTGTTTCATAAATTTTATCATCCTCCTTTCATCTAAATGGGAATTAATTAGTTCAGACTTTAATTCCAGCTCAAATCAATAGGGATTCTTTAGCCCAAACAAATGATCATGCTTACAAGCAAGAGGGAAAGATTAACTCAGGCAAATATTAAGGTTCAAAAGATTTACAAGTCTATTTCATAAGCATGGAGCATAAGGCATGTTATAAGTTTAGATAGACATTTAGCTGAGCAATAGATCTTGAATTAAGTAATCCTACTAACTTCTGTCTGACTGGAAAACTTTGAAAAGTTCTAGTTGCACTGGAGGCCAAGTGATTCTCTTGCCATGCCCCCATTCTATAATGTAGTTGTCCCAATGTTCTTTCAAGTCCCCATGGTCTGATTATCAATTTCACAAGTTATGAATCCAATAAATATACTACCTTAGCCTTTTCACAATATACATCACTCTAAGGTCATAGAATTTATACAATAATAACACATAATTTGAAACAGCATATTCTGGAAAATTATGGAACCAAACAGTTGATGTACTTAGCTGGTAATTAATCATTTAACTGATTGGGAACCAATATCTCTGAAATAAGTACTTGCTTCATTTAGCTAAATGTGAGATTTTCAGTATTTGGAAATACAATGCATCATGTGGAACTAAATAGGTGTAAATATCTAAGTTGGAGCTTGAGACAGATGATCTTCACACATTTCTAGTTTAACATGAATGGAGGAGAGAGCTATTTCTAAAAAGTTTTGGTTTTATGAACATCTTTGTGATCTCTTCCCAGATATCATTCAAAGTTCTTCTACTTCAAAATGTAGCCTTAAATTATCTGTTCAGATAAGTCTTGTTTTATATTCCTAAATTCAGTTTCAATTTACAAAGTATTCTAAATGCCCTCTGAGGTACATCAATAAATTGATAACCTAATGCTTTGCTATTATTTGTCAATATGAATTAGAGTATTTATGGATCACTGTGAAAAAAACTAATATATAAATATGCAAATATAGTCAAACTTCATTATATTTGGAGTTAGTTTTTTCTAAAATAAATATTTTTTTCAAATGATTGATATATATTCAAGCCAGACATTCTATAAGTGTTTGAAAAAAAAAATTATGCAAACATACATACATAATGATTTTTTTCCTTCAAAAAACAAAATCCAATAAAACTATGGAGAAAGTAAGTTTTACCCCTGCGAAGTGTTGGACACAAGTCAATGTAAGCAGTTTCTGTTTAGCGATGCTTATATTGCATGCATAGTAAAAATATCATGTCTGACAACAATCATATATTTCAGCTATCATTTCCCCATTTATCATTTAGCAGGCGCATTGCTAACCAATATTGGCAATATTGCTATACAGAAAACTTCAGAATAATCAAATTGTCTTCTCAAATTCACCAAGTTGACCCATACTGGGAGAATGCAAAAGATATCACCAGGTTTAGTGAATGCAGCTTTGACTTTTGGGAGATTGTCTTCTTTCTATATTATGTGTATGCATTTCATTATGACTGCACGTTGTATTATTTCTTACACAGTGCTTTGTACCCTTGTCAAATTAGAAAAACAGAATTCATTTTTAAGTGCCTTTTAAATAGATGTGGAGAGCCAGTTTGGTTTAATTGTTACGGTAGCAAACTAGAAACCAGGAGACCAGAATTCTAATCCTACCTTGGGCGCAAAGCTAGCTGGGTGACTTCAGGCCAGTCACTCTCTCTCAGCCCTTGGAAAGAAGCAATAGTATACCATTTTTGAAAATGTTGCCAAGAGAACTGCAAGGAATAGTCAAGGCAATCACCAAACACTGACACAGAATCAAAGATATCCTTCCCCGAAAAAGGGTTAAACCTCTAAAATAAGTGGTCCCAAATCATACAACTCATTTAATCATGAAGCAATTCTTTCTTTCTTTCTCTTTCTTTCTTTCTTTCCTTCCTTCCTTCCTTTCTTTCTTTCTTTCTTTCTTTCTTTCTTTCTTTCTTTCTTTCTTTCTTTCTTTCTTTTTACAGCTCCAGGAAATATCCAGCCACCCACTTCTGTTTCATTCCCCACATCTTTATGGTTGAGATGGGCTCCTCCAGAAGAACCAAATGGCATAATCACACAGTATATTTTATATATGGATGCTCAACAAATTTATACTGGAAATGAAACCAGGTTTATTGTCAAAGGTGAGTTGTAACCACTTGATATTACCATATAGACTTTCACTTAGATTTGCCTGATTATCCCTTTGGAATTAAACTTCAGATGAGTCAAGTATGGCACATAGTAAGCCACTGTTTTCCCACATTAATTAAGTGAAAAGTGAAGGATTTGCTTTTCTCTGATTTAAAAGCAGTTCTCATCTAGCAATTCTTTTTTCCCATTTGATCAGTAATTGGTTTATACAGACTAACTTAAATATGGCTATATTCATGTGAGAAATTAAGAGATAAAAAGATTATATTTCTCTTTTAGCAGTCATTGAATGATAAGTATACATGTGTTAGCAAGACTATAAGTGTTCCCTATCACATACACTCAAGAGGAAACTCAGCAATCAAAAAACTTTAAGAGTCTCCCTCCTGCCTCCTCCTCCCGTCATAGTCTAGTAATGGCAGAAAATGAAAACTAGAGAATTTAGAATAATTGTCCTAGAAAAGGTCATAGCTAACTACAAAGATCCTTGGAAATGAGTACTCCATTCCCCACCATTTTATTGCATCTTTTGTGAAGGCCTTTTTTATAACTTCATTATATGTCCAAGTAAGATGATTATTTAAATTGTCAGGGCCTGCAGTGGCCATCTAGGGAGTCATATGTGGGGAGAAAGGAGGCACAAAGTGACATGTGCATTATGCTATCATTCAAATAGCAGAATGTATGATCTTTCATCAAGACCATGAGACAACCGATGCACATAATTGTGTCATTTGTGCGATGCCACTATGTATATTAACTTCTTGGTAGCAGTATTAAAGCAAATATGCAGAGTATTCATGATTGCTTAAGCAACGTCATCAAAGACAGGGTCCAGAGATATTTTTTTTAATTCATTTAGATATTACAAACCCAACTTGAATTAATGAGTTCATTACTGGTTTAAGCAGGTAGGGCTTCTGAAATTCATTAATATTGCAGTTCAATACTCACTTCACACATAAGCCCGACTGAATTCAATCAGCTTAATTTCAGAGTAGATGTACATAGGGTTGGCTACCTAGAGTGATTCTGATGTTGTTGGTTGGATGGATATATACTTTTCTGTGAAATTGTGGGGTATATGATGTATCAGTCTCATACAAAAGAGCACCCAGCAGTGCAGCCTCCCTAGTCACATATAAGACTGGTAGGTAAGGCACTTATATGTTCTACAACTAACCAATAAATCTCAATTTTCTAACATGAGATGTTACCTAGGGAGGTAATGAAATAGCTGCCAAATGAAAATCCAAGTTCAAAGAACCCCTACAATCCAACAAAGAGCAATACATGGCAAATGGAGGCCAACCAAATCTTTCCTGTATGGTTTTCAGTAGTTATCATATTCTAATCCTGCTCATTTAAAAACAACCTTATTACTAGTTCATATTTCTGTATGCTGTAAAACAATTCACTTTCTCACAAGTTTTTTTTCAAGTTAAAATCTACTCAGCACATATTTTACTTGTGTGTTTCTTTAAAATACTTTTAGTACCAATGCTTCACATCTGACTGGTTTACAGCAACAATATATAATACATAACATTGTAAGAATTAACAAATTATCAAAAATATCAAATAATAAATGCAATCAATATAAGCTACAAAAACATCATAAAATGATATTGGAACAATCAAATCATAGTGAAATTCACAATGTTTTAATTTATTGGAGCGTTTAAGCATTCCAGTATCTTATCAACTGCCCTGAAACCAAAAATACAGTTTATATGATCATTTGGTCTGTGTTTTGCCCACTAGAAACATTACAGTTTAAAGAATCTTACTATTAATTGTTACATCTGTCTGGTATATATCCAGCGGTGGGTTGCTAACCGGTTTACTACCGGTTTGCTTGTACAGACACACACACACACACACACACACACACACACACACACACACACAACATGTCTGTGTATGCACATAAGCGTGTGGGCGGAGCCTCCTGTTGCCGCCATTTCAGCCAAACTGGGCAGAACCAGCAGCAACCCCTCCTCTATATATATCATATCTGTCATTAACTATGCATGCAAGTTCAAAAACTTACACTACACCATGCATTTCAACTGTTTTTAACTTTATAGGTATTGCATACAATACTATACAAATGTATACATGCCAAAATATGTAGCCTGTGTTGTTAATGCTAGTAAAATTCATAAAATATACACTTAAGACTGTCTTCTTTAAAGTTAGTTTAAAGTGCTTAAGGATTTGACCAGAGAGTAGAATGACAGAATAATCATTAACAAATCCAGCAAGATTTCAAAGGTTGAGGAATCCATGCCATCATATATTCTGGACATTAATATACTGTTTACTCTCTTGTTCCAACATGCTCTTGTTTTCTCACTCTTTTCTGATCAGGAGAAAAACGAAGCAGAAAATTTTAGGCAGTCAGTTGGAGTCATGAAAAATCATGGATACATGTCTGTTGTACTTGCGAGTGATGTGTGGTGGTTGCAGGATTCTTAACGTCGCTCAGACCTTGACATTGTAACTGTAGTATTTCCAAAACACAGAATCAGAGAAAATCCTCAGATTATTACCAAGTAATCCGGTTTCACAAAAACTGTTATTTCCTGGTTTGAATAGTTTTTTTCCTGTTTATCCTGTGACATAGCAATTCTTTTGAGTTAAAAGATGACCTGGAATAATCAAAAACTCCTTTTGGAATTGAGCCAATCTACTTGAAATAATTTTACAAAGATTTGTTTGTGACAGTTAATCAGAGGAACTATTACCACAACACTATTCATACAGAAAAGAATAAATTTTAAACTAAGCATTCTAAAGTTTTAAGCAGTTAACAATAGGATACTGTATATGTTTTTGTGTGTGATAAATAGGCTTAAAGCCTCAGACTACAGCCTAATTGGATTATACTCCACATTTTAATCTCATGAAAATTCAGAAATTCCTCTAAAATCCTTGCAGAGCATTCAAAATTGAGTTAGAGATAGAGATTAAGCAGCCTGGCTGGTATGAGGTGAGAGTTTGAATATTCTTTTGTCAAGTGACTAAATACTGAATCACAAAGGAAATTAAACTTGCTTTGCATACATGGCAGACAGGCAAGGTTAAGTTGATCAGACCTTTGAAATCTTGGCAGTAGAATGCATTTTTATTACAAGAATCTAGGCAAACTAAATGATGGCATTAGCATGGCTGGCTTTACATTACAGGTGTCTTCAGCAAAATATTTCCACAATGATGGCTTCTAGCCAGGAGGTAACCTAGGGGTAGCAACTGATTCAGTTTTTAATTTTCCTTGGTGCTGCTTTGGATCACCAATTCAGCCATGTGGACCAAGGCAAGCATCTGCCTTGAATCTTGCCAAGGAGATGTTTTCTTGGCAGCTGCTAGCATGTATTAGATAGCAATGCCAGGGTCTGCTGTTGGCATCTGCCCACACAAGTCCCCCCTCCAACAACACACAAAGTTGCCTCTATCTTATTTTGGTTAGTTGCCCTGATTTAGTATTCCACTTTATTTGATTGGTCCTAAACTGACCACAATTTAGTTTGTTGAACAAGATGCAGCTCATGTTCTACTCGTGCAAGTCTTTATACGTATAGCATTTCTGCATTTGTAGTTGATATGGAGCATTTTACAATACATTCAGTTAAAATATCTTGCCATGCACATCCCATAAGCTACTAGTGTGTTGGGTCACTACTGACACTGAAAAATGAGTCCAGTTAGAGAACCCCCTGAAGGCTCTTGATGTATACTATAATAAATAGTGCACACTTTAAGTCAAACTTTTTCATTCTGTATTCAAAGGTAATGGATTTTCAGTAACCATAGTAACCTTGGTTTATTTCTAGATAAATACATGAGGTATATACATTTTGGTTTTATTTTTGAATATAAACTACCACATTATGTATTGCTAATAATATGAGAAATAGGATATAGGGTCACATAATGACAGTTTAAACTAGTATGCATTTTTCTTCTGGAAAAAATAAATATTTATCAAATGTATAGATGCAATTAATATTCCCCCCTCCAGGTTTTTCTATATTCTTGTACAATCATTTATCTTCTTCTTTGCAAGACCCCCATCAATCTTTTCTCTGTGCACGTGTTCATGTGCCTTCTGCCCCATGTCTTCTACAGATATGGAAACAATGCTGGTTGTAATTTTGTATTTAAAATAATAATAATGCCTATAGTCAGAGTTGCATTTTCCTGGTCAGATCCAATACAATTTGCCATGTTTAAATCTCTGTACCTTATGATGTAGTACAGAGGCAGGAATAGGTTTTGTTGGTGGATTATCCATTCTACTGTCTACCAATCTTCTTGCCTAAATTTCAGATGAAGTGCTGAAAACCACAAGGTATTTGTGGTGCTGTGGCACAGTGGTTAGAGTGCAATACTGCAGACTACTTCTGCTGACTGCCAGCTGCTTGCTATTGGCAGTTCAAATTTCACCAGGCTCCAGGTTCACTCAGCCTTCCATCCTTCCGAGGTGGGTAAAATGAGGACCCAAATTGTTGGGGGCAATATGCTGACTCTGTAAAATGCTTAGAGAGGGCTGTAAAGCACTGTAAAGGGGTATGTAAGTCTAAGTGTTATTGCTATTGCTATTTAGCTCTGGCAATTTTTGGTGTCCCAGATACAACTCATCATTTTATGGATCTTCTTCAATTCTTTTCTTGTTTGGACTTATTGGTGAATGAATTTTGGGCTTCATTTTCTTTATTTGAAGGGGCAGTAGGAGGAGATATTATTGATTTTATGATCATATTAAAACTTGCATTGTTTGTTGTATTCCATCTCTGCAGGGTTGTCACTCTTCCCAGAAGCTAGATGGAGCTCTACGTTTCTTGAAGGTTCTGGGAAATGTTTTTTTTTTTTCCAGTTTTGGCTGGCAACCCAGTTAGTTAATTGCTAGATTTGGAGATTATTAGAGATATTGATGCCCCTTCTTTTTGTAAAATGCCACTGACTAATCATATATAACCCTAACTAT